CGTGGTGGTGGTCGTGCGCTCATGTATAGTATTGAATTCAGTTCACACTGATCTTTGGCAATAAACTTCCGAAGGTTATCGATGTATGGTGTCTGTATACAGACTGAATTGATCTTTTGAGAGCAGTGTGATCGTTGTGCCAGTGTCACTTATAAAGTAAAAAAACAATCAACATATGAGCAACAGGTAGTTGTATGGTTTTCACAATATAACTCTTGTGAGAAAGCTGCGACGTCTCCCACGACATGAGGTCCACAATGCGACACTTGGCCGTGTGCATCGTAAAATAGTCTAATTATCAAAGAAGTAAAATGAAACAAGCCTGTAAGGACATTTAAACTATTGTTTTGTGTCTGTCGGGTCGCCTGTGTTTTTACTTATTTATTTTATCAAATACAACTTTTTTGGTCCCCACTTTATATATTTTGCTGCCCAAAGACTTGCTGTGACTATTTAAGTCGGGATTAAGGTTGTACCTATGCTATGTGTATGCCATTCCATGAAAAGAAAACAGTTTATAAATGTTATCCCGCTGTATGAATCAGCCACAACACGATATTCACTATGTATTCTGATGCATTTAATACAATAACTTAGAGACAAAATGGTAATATTTTCAAGCAAGTATTATGCAATGACAAGATGGTGTGTGGAAGGAGAGATGCCATCGATGTGGGCAGATTTATTAACATCAGAATGCGTTCGAGATGTGCCGTGTATAGAGCTCGCTCTCTCCATCCATCCTCGTCACCTGTACTCAACGAGGGAGAAACATACGGGAAAAACACTGTTCCAAAAATGTTGAGAGTAGAGGTTCATTTTGAAATATATTGTGGGTAGTGGAACATGTAATTATTTTATGGAGTTTTGATCCAGAGCAGCTGTTAAACCATTCATATAAATTTAACAAGGAATGTGTGAATGGCAGAACTTTTAGATGAATCTCTCGATAACAGCTGTTTGGTATTCATATAAATGTCAACCTTCGAAGGATAATTTTAACGGAAATAAACAAAATTCTCCTCTGAACTTTAAGTTTGTAAACTCGCCGAAAAAAACAAGTGGCACATTTTGCCAGCAATTGCTCATATATAAGCGTTGGCTTTACCTAGTTCATTGCGCGAAATCATACTGCACAAACTTAAAGCGCAGCGGTCGTTGCGCAGCGCGGTGTTCGAATTTCATGTACTAGTAAATAAACAATATATTTTACACGCGTTGTATACGTCGCTATGAGTCCCATATCGAACAGTACGCGGCACGACGACTGTCGCCCTTTAACTCCTTGTACACTCTTCTCCCACAACAGTGAACGATAACGAAATCAAAAACCGACATTGAATTAATGAGAAAACTTAAAACAATGTAGACTCAAATACATCAACTCAACACATCTACAGGATTTTTTGTTTGTTTTAATATTCGATTATTTATTCTTACAATACATTACTCCGGTAGTAAGGTATGAAGTATTGCAACTGTGGTTATTTAATTATAAAATAAAAAAAAAACGCTACTCTTGGTCAATCAATGTTGAGAAAAGTATATTACTATTTGTTAATCTCAATTTGAATATAAATAATTCAAAATTTGTTTTGACACCAACTTGACAACATACAATATGGAAGTTGAAATGCTGTTATCACCAATGGGAATACTCTTCAAAGCGATGTTAGTTTGTCAATGAGAACTACTTTTCTTTCAAGCCCTCTTTCCAACCACGAACACCTCGGTTTTATAGGAACTACCCAACTATGCATTGACACCTCCCATATAGGTGGCAGAAAACCAAAATAGTACATTTTTTCAGAACCTTGTAGAAACCTAGCGGGCCAACATATTTCAAATACCTCTAAATTATTATATTTTGAGAGTTGTGAGTACATTTACCAAACTTTAAAACTGTTACACATGAGAGTATTGAACGCGTCTTATGTGTCTTATAATTAATCACATGGCAACAGTCACAACCAATCAGAACCAGGCTGAGCGTACACGTCAAGACCACTATATACTACAAATCTGCGTTTACGGTGATAAAAATCATATTTTCTGCCACTACTAATCATAACTGTTTGAACTTTGAAATTGAAAATTGAGCTCAGAATTAGTCTAAAAAGTTGAATTACTATGATATATCCACATAGTCGGCTTCTTCTGTTAAATTCATTGGCTGATGTATTCTTCATTTTGGAGATAATAACTAACATCACTTCTTGACTATATGCCTTGGTATTTGTAATGTCATCGTGCATGTATATCCAGTGTTTATTATATTGTGTAACCCCGTATACGGAATATAATTCATGGCAAATTGAAACGCAGTTCGCCAAAAAATGGAATGATGTGAATTTAATTGTACTAAAACCTAATGTTTCAATTAAAAGTAAGCTGGAGTATTTAAAGGGCGGCAGTCGTCGTGCCGCGTCCTGTTCGATATGGGACTCATAGCGACGTATACAACGCGGGTAAAATACATTGTTTATTTACATTAAATTCGAACACGCGCTGCGCGACGACCACCGCGCTTTAAGTCGACTTTTATTTTGACAATTAATCAGCTGATAAACATTGACTGGGTTACGAACACATCCCCGAGAAAATATTATGCGCCAATCATACCACGTACATGAGTACATACAACTGGTGAAAAATGATCGCAAATACACGTGTGAAGTGAAATTAAATTAATGTTCATTTGCCAGACGAATCATAGACAGAGTTTAAATGACAAACGTGCAAATAATTGTCCACTTGTCAATCAAACCATATGAATGTCAGTTGGACGTTTCTGATCGCGGTTGAGACAATTATATAATATATTGCGTCTAAATTCAGTATCAGTCGTATTTTAAAAGAAGTGTTAAATTTACAAATGATCGCAACGTCACAAATATTGTCAATGGATAAAATACCATTGCTACTCTCACCTTTTGCTGGGCAACATAGTTCAATTGTCACCGCACGTGGCAACACAGTTTGTATTCCCCATTGTGTGACCAATGATCGGATCTGTATAGCAACTATTGCATTCCTCTGTATCAAGGAATAACTTAGACGATTTGTACATAACTAATTGTACATCAACTAATCGCATAACCAACAATGTGTGATTTTGCCAACATTCACAACTTATTGACGTCTGAAAATCACAATATCACAAGAATGTCTTATAACTATTATCATGGTGAAAATAAAATGTTCAAACAATGTTCAGTTAAATACAATTAATATGGTATAGGTGTGTTATTCGTTGTTAAGATTGAGGTCACCAGATATGCCCAGTGAATTTAACTATTAAAGTTGTCTTCATCAACCTGTATCTTTATACAAAAGGACGGTGAATGTCGGACATAGTAATACAATAAAACACAACACCAGTTTTCAGTGTAATTGTAACCACACAAGTCATTGCAAACAAAATTTAATAGATTTTTTATATGTTTTATCACCTTTTGTGTCAACTAAATTTCTCAGCTCGCAAGAGATATGATTCACTCAAAATTCCAAAATCGTCCATTTTGCTGCCATTTGAATCTGAAATCACCCCCATAATGCATGATTTTAAAGATGTACTGGCGCCTGTCAACTTGCAATTGATAAAAAGTTTCAAAACACGTGCGTGAATTGACTACTGTGATTGTAAAATGACTCCTTGATATTTAACCTTCGCGCATTTTGACTGTCACTTTATTTAATTAAAAAAACTACAGTTAGTGTGTTTCTGAACTAACAAAGGTCCATCTTCCCACCTCTTGTGTCTGGACAGGTTTGTATTACTTGCAGGGTTCAAAACAATGTTCCTTGATTCTTTTTTTTATTATTAAAGAAACGTTACTTATAATGAGGTCAGAGCAGGATTAGTGCGAACACGTACGTTCTAGTGACTTTTCAAGAGATTTTTTGTGCAAAATTTGTTGTTTCATTTAATGAGACGGGGCGTAAAATTGCGTTATTCAAGAAGTGCGACCACCGTAAGTTCTGGAAAATATCCAAAGATCCAGTGCGCATTCCATGTCAAGGACAAAGTTTTACTTCTCTTATAAAAAAAAAAAATAGATCACTATGTCTCGTCATCGATTTGGTTTGATTCTCTCGATTCTTCCTTAAATGGCAGCAGTCGTCGTGCCGCGTTCCGTTCGATATGGGTCTCATAGCGACGTATACAACGCGTGTAAAATACATGGTTTATTTGCATGAAATTCGAACACGCGCTGCGCGACGACCACCGCGCTTTAACACCACAAACACGTCACTCCCTTGTTGTGCGTGTCAGCCAGTATACGGGGGATTTTATCAGGGGGGATTTTATATTTTATTTAGAGGGTGACTAGCTTCTAAATATGCTTGAATTAAAAAAAAAGATTTTTGATATAACAATTATAGATGACTGTATTGACATACTTCTAGTTAGACTCTGGTCTTGGTCACTCTGTTACGTCCGTTAACCTGGGGTGCGGAAGTTCGTTGTCATTGCGCCCACGAATATTTGATGAACTACATTTAGGTACCTGGGTTACACTTACCAAACAATCATTCGACTCTGAGTCAGTGATTGTGTTGAATTAGTGATACCAGGCCATGTATTACGACTGTCGCCAAAGAGGAATCAAATAGTGTCTTATTGTAGCGTATCGTGTTGTAAACTTTATCTACGTAACCTACATAATTCGAAATTGCGATGCAACTGAATGAACTTGAATTTTCATATTTTTAAAACAACGATATTTTAAGGTGCAACGAGCAACATAGCTTCACATAGCATCAATGACGCCCCCTTGAGGTGGTTATTTATATTATATTATACTATACCAACTTCATTTTAATGGGCGGTGGTCTTCGCGCTTCGCATGTGCGAAATTTGTGTTGATAAACGTTGATTTTCCCACAATCCAATACGCTCGTTTAAATGGGAATCACAAGTATGAGGCGTGTTTAGGAAGATAAGTGACACTCGGCCATTAAATGACATCTTAACAATATTAATACGTGTTTTTCAGGTACTCAAAGTCTAACAACGCCTCCAGAAAGCAGTTCAGAAACAGTTTCTGAGATTCTTTATTCCACAGGTATGAAAAAGTTATACCAGAGACATTAATCAAATAAAAATGCTATTTGACCAATTATATTGCGATATTCGTATTTTCAATGTTATCAGTCGAAATCACTCATAAACGTGCTTATGGGTATAGACTGCTGAACTAACACTATTTTGAGTTAAAAAAGAATTCTTGTTTTGACAAGGGTATTGATTGAGAACATATTTGTAGTCACTTTATCCTTTATATATCAACGTTGTACGAAAAACGGAGAGTGTACAGTTACCTGAAGAGCGAAATTAAAATTGAAACTTATTTTCAACGTTGGGTACCCAACTTGTCCCTAAGTGTCCACGGGACATTACTAAAACATTTTTGTATTTCCTGTTTTAGATAATCTGACAACAGAAGCAGGCTGGCCTGAAGACACTGTTTCTGGAATTCCTTATGCACCAGGTGAGAGTGTCATGTGTGCGGAAGTTGACGATGTTTCTTTGAAACCATTTTGCTTATGATACTTAATATAAAAAATAATTCAAGATATTTATTAACTATGCTAATGTATATTTGTTAGGTTTAGTGAACTTTGCCTTTAACCAAACTGTCATCTCAAATAACGTGTTGGAAAATGAAGCGTACCCCGAGAAAGCAGTAGACGGTTTCACTGATTTCAACGATTCGCTGCCGTACGGTGGGTGCGTGTACATGAAATCGGACACCAAGTTCAACTGGGTTAGGGCACTGTTTCCTGAAATGGTCATAATCAAATTCGTCATTGTCTACAGTCCACGGCGTAAGTGTAAATTATTTTGATACTAAGATATTTTCACAATTGAATAATCTCACTTGATTTGATAAGGGGCTGGTCTATAGAAACATTGAGCGGGGTATGATATAATGACGTCACTTCAAATTTATTTCTTTGCTTCTTTCCATCCAATGTGTACTTTTATGTGTATGTGCTTACATACTTTTCGAAATCCTGAAATACAAAATATCTCAATTTGGTCGTAGTTTTACACTATATCTCTTGATTTGTTGTTAGGAATTAAATTAATTCAAACATTTCTGGTAATTAAAGAGGAAAGCTGAAATACGTATTCCTCGTATATATTTATCTGTAGGACATCATTTCTAAATTCCCCAACCTCAAGTTGCAATTTTTCATTCATGACTAGAGGGCATTTGTGCATACACCACCAATTAAAACGACTTTAAATGCAATAATCTTGCATGCATTGCCGAACCCGTAAATATATGTATTGATCCAATCAATATGCTTAATCTTTAGTACTCATGACGGTAATATATGTTCGTGATCACGTGGTCATTTATGCAAATGAGATAGGGCCCGCCATGATGTTTTGAACACACTCTATTTTAGAGATTAATTGTATGAATTTATAAGCTACGAAACAGATACATGAATTGAGCAGGGCTGAATTAGTGCAATCAGGGCGGATACGTTATTGATTCTTGAGAGGTTGGGCGCGAATAAATACAATCGCAGAGAGCATAAATGCTAATCCTTCAGGAAGGAAGACTTGATTTCAAGTATTTTTTTTATTTCATTCGGCAGTTGGCAATGTTAATCTGTATGAAGCGATGGTTCAAACTAAGTCGCCGTCAGATAGATTGTTCGTTGACTGCGGGAAGATTACTCGTAGTATGGTCAATACACGCCTACGAATACGTGTTGAGTGTGATCCAATGAGAGTCGGTAACACTGCAAGGGTTCTTATCACAAACAAAAAAGCAAGACATAAGCTGGAGCTGTGTGAAATGGAGGTGTACGATCGAGGTTAGTCACTGTCTATACCGACAGCATCTACTTTAATATTCATGAAACGAAAACTTATATTTGATGAACGAAACAAAAAATCTAAAAATAGTGTGTCTAAAAGTGCAAAACGTTGTTCTATGTTTTTGTACTGTTGTTTAAATTTTGTAGAGTAAATATTTAGAGTTATACAAGCACTAATATGTTTCCGACCCATTGCAAAACGTGCAGATTGTTTGTTATTTGTTTATTAACTTCAAATATTTAATAATAAATTCTGCACTTGTAAAACTGAGGTCCCGTAACTGGTTTAAGTTTTAATGATAATAATATGTTTTTATACATGTGGGCATGATCTGGTTCTTTAATATGGCAACTTAAATAATAAAAATAAAAAAACGTATATTTTTGCATCTCATTTAACAAGTATACTATTTGTAATTATATAGTGGTAAACTATTTTCCAGTCAGATTTATGTGAAGCATAATTATGATTTCATATTTTTTTATATTTCAAGATTTATAATAACCGTGACAATAAATGTGATTAGCGACTTATGGGACTCGGAAGAAATTGAATTACACATGCTAAAATCAATTTAAATATTAAAAGTTGGTATTAGATGTTATATTGGGTGCAATTGTTTCAACTAAAGGTCATAGCAATTCGTGTTATTGCCGTGACATGTTGTTACTCTTTATTGGTTGTCTGCGCTAGTCATAATGATACACGAATTGCATGCCATTTGTCAGTATCAACCACTTAAAGGGCGGTGGTCGTCGCGCCGCGTCCTGTTTGATATGGGACAATAGCTCTATTCGAAACTTTATGTTCTACTATGTAATGCTCGCCATTTTTTTCTAAGAATGACTTGCGAGTGGCCCACAACAACGCTTTTCATATTTTAATATTTAAACGTAACTTTCTGGAGCACTTGTATTAAATGATATTTTTACATTTTTACATTTAGTAGTATCATACGTAAAATTAAAGCTGGGTTCTACCTTATATTAACTGGCTGTGAACAAATTTGTATCAAAACATTCATGTCGGTGTAACTAGCCGAAACTTTTTGCTGATATTCGTAAGTCGTTTATATTCCAACAAACACAAAGAACACAATATTTAAATTCTTCTTTGTGTAGATCCGGATACGTGGACAACACCAGCACCACCAACAACCGTAAATGCCGCAACGACAGTAATTGGAGCAGCAACAACGTCATCAGCGGATAAAACACAGTCAGTGGCAACAACGCCATCAGCGGCAACAACAGCATCGGCAACAGCAGTAGCTACGATCGCCAAGTCGAAAACCGAATTAGGACACACATTAAAGTCAGGTACGATTAACATTATGCGGTGTTGATTATTTTGTGTTGCATATGTTAGAATGGCTTTGATATCAACTCAACTTACCCAATTGCTTAATTCTAAAAACACAAAGTGAAAGACAATTGCCACACGAAGACACTACACAATGCCATGCATGGTTAACTCGGTGAGATAAAAATATAGATTATATCTAGGAATTTATGTCAGGTATTTCGAGTATATTTTGCTCACCATAGGTAAATCTGAATTTTAATTAGGAAGTCATTAGGATGCCACATTTCTACATCGTCAATTGACTTTCAGTTATCTTAAAATATGCCGGAATATACTAGAAGTGTAATCTTATATCTATACTACCCTACTCTGTAGATCGACCATCGACAGTTCAAGGGATAAATACGGATGGTGAACACACTGCCGCACCTGTAGCAATCTTTCCTAAGTCCACCTCGGGAAGCACTGTTCATGATAACCCAGGTATGTACTGACCATACTTGAAAATGGCCGACAACTCTCGCTCTCAGTGAGATCTCGGTGACCATTTGCATCTAAGGTCTATCAAAATTGAAGCGGGAGGGTCGTCACCTGCGCACGCGCGGGAATTGAGTTCCAAGCGACGATAACAACACACGCTAAAAACGCAAAGGCTCATGGGTAGACGCTCGTTTGTAAACAATGACACGTTATGGCCATCTGACGCATGCGCAGGTGGCGACTCCCCCGCTTTAATCAAACGGCAGTCTAAAATTGCAATTTATTTACTAACATAGGTTATTTATTGATGCTTAGTTTGTGGCTGAGCGTCATCCGAAGGTGAAGCTTATATAGCTTCGAGTCCTAACTATCATTTATTTAGTTTTTTAAATCCAGGTATTTTATTCTACCACATCTGGAGCATAAATCAAAACGATTTCCATACATAATTTAGAAGGTTGTTAATAAAAGGGAAAAGTATATTTTAGTTTAGACACGGCGACAGTATCATTTACTATACATACAAAACAGGTTACAACTACTTTTCTATTATATGCCTTGACACAGTGTACACTCGTGCATATTATTCAAACCTTCTTTTGAAATAGTCATTCTTACATTTTTAAGAGTAAGCATCCGGTATATTATCTCATCATTTGTCAATCTAATTTAAAAATCTTTTGGATGCCACAACCCTACATCTTCAATTGACATCCAGTTATCTCTAGATAATAGGATGTATTGTAAGGACCATAGGAAATATATTTTGAATTTTTATATATACTTATGCTACGTTTTAGATCTTGAATCGACAACTCAAGTAGTCAATGCAGGTGGCGATCACACAGGGATTATAACTGAAGTAACTGCAGCAACTTTACCTAAGTCTGCCTCAGAAGTCACTAATAACCCAGGTTTGTATTGGCTTTACGCGCAAATTACAACTGGGGCCTCATGGACAGCGAGATTAAAAAAAACACCCATTTCCCTGCGAAATTCAGAATGCACACGCGTATCTCCACACCAGCCACCTCCCGGAACCACAAAACTTGTTTTTCCCCTCAAATATTTTTTTCTCTCCAGTAGAGTGTTACAAAAGTATATGCGATCTAGAATTCTCATTTCAATTGCACAAAAAAACTGAAGTCTCGTGGCTATCTCGCTCTCAATGAGATTTTGGCGGCCATTTGCATGATCAGAGGTCATGACGACAGAGGTCATGACAACAATTTGTTTATGCAAACCGACGAACCTGCATATATATGTTAATGAAAATTGTGAATATCTATGTATATATAATCAAACCAAATTGTTAAATACTGTTCTGTACACTTCCTGCCTTCTAGGTGAACACTCGACCAGTGGCGACAAGAAGTTCTCCCCACTTAAAGATCCAGCTTCTAGTGAGATGAGCACTGCAGAATCTAGTAATCCAGGTTTGGGACTGGGTGTTGGGCTCGGTTGTACGTGCTTAGCTCTAGTAGGCGTCGCAGCTGGTATCAAATTTATATTGATAAGAAAGAAAAGAAAAGTGGAAGACGATGCTAAATCTGAATTGAGAAATAAGTCAAGTGAATCGAAAGACAAGATAAGCGAATAAAAAGACAAGATAAGCGTATTCTCAAACGAGAGTAGGGTTTAGAAACAATTCAAAATGGCGTTATTGAAACCAGTTTATTCAAAAACAGTCATACTTTTTGCGATCGGGGGTAAAGATTATTTAAATTTCACACTAACCTACTTGTCCATCCTCTTCCTTTAACGACTCGAATAACGAGTGTTTCGTGATTAATAAGTCACGACGAAAATCTCCGATTTGGAACAAAACGAAAATTGGTGTTTCACAGAGTCCTCTCTGTTCTCCGTAGTTTGAATAAACTGATGATGAAAACCGCTATCTCCAAGTAATTTATTGGAACATTGCATTATCCATTGGACAATTCTTAGAGGAGTTTGCATTCAACATTTTGAAATAGTTTACCGGCAGTCCACCTATATTCATCGTGATCAATGCGAAATTAAATTGTTCAAGTGTAAAACGCTCATGGAATTCATAAATTCGCCATATTAATATTGCCAGAAATTTGATTGAAACGGTTTTAACAAAGAAAAATCGCCGACGAAATCAAACGTCTACCCGTCTGTAATGTGATATCGGCAAACAAGGCTAGTTCACAGTCGTTACCTGAGCAAAGTCTCATGACATTGAAACATGTTTACAGCCACAAATTAATTTGTATCTTTGATCGGAAACATTGAAAGCATAGTGTATATGTGTGTTTTTACCGCCCGACTCTCCTTATTGCTCCGTCCAGGGCGCCGCTGTATAGAATGGAAAGTGCCAAAGTCAAAACAAACACCACTAACGTTTAAACGTGCCAATAGAGATTGGTAGGGGAATACCGGTTTTCACAATCAGTTTATTTCGACACCCATTCTAAGGGTCTACGGTAACTCTCATGGATGTATACCCAGACTAAACCTGGATACTTAGAATTAATATTAAAATGGCTGTTTGAATTTGTTTAATGTGACTTCTCGCCATTTTTGGCCTATAATTTTCAAATTATATTCTAATCGTACGTAACAAACGCCTACAATTTTCTATTCTATTTTCGACAGTTCTCAAAATATAATAACTTAGAACTTTGTATTCCTAAACGCGCTTGTTAATTGTTATAAATTTGCATATCAGGTCACGTGGTTACACACACCAACATAAAGATGATTATTACAATATTCACATTTGCCTCCCAATTTTACTCTGAGTCAATATAGCAACAAATCACGTAGGCAGACAACTACTCCTGTAGAGGATGTTAATTACACATATAATCAACGACTATATCATGTTTAAGACAGTGACATCACTGTCATTATTATATTATATTATATTATATAATATTATGCTATTGATTTAGATAATCAGGAATTCGAATTCACGGACATCTAACATTAGAGTGGAGCCCCTATCTTAGTATAAATAACCACTTCCATTTATGATTATTTAAATATATACATAATATATTTTTGATTTCTCATCGATTTACATTAATGTAAGGCAACCTATTTCGATGTCAAACAAATCGGCTACATCTAGTCACAGTCAGCT